CGCCCCGCCCCGCCCCGTTCTGGCCGCGCTCAAGAGTGTGAACAAATCAACAGATTCGCAGCTCGGCTCCCCAACGCCGCCGGCGGTCTTCTTGACGGCGACGCCATGAAGCACTGTTCCGCCTCTTCAAATGTGCGTTACATCGACCACACACACAAAGCACAAAACATTGCAACACAACAACACACTGTTATTTGCGAAAAAGGATGAATAATAATAATGATAATAATTATTGAAATAAAATGGAAAACAAAACTGGCCAATCTTTTTGTTTACTCATTGATTTTATTAAGTAATAACAAAAAACACAGCACCCACAGCACTACAGATGAAATAAATTAAAACACCCCCACTTCGCTCGCATAATATCCACACATCAAAGCAGCACTGATTTGAATACAACAGACGACTTTACCCTCACAAATGACCATGCCGGGGCGTGAAGAGAAATAAATAGGTACAAATTAAATAACGGAAAGGGAAAACGATCCCACACACAGACACACTGACCTCTGCCGTTAGTCCAGCAGGTCCACGAGGGCGTTGATGTAGGTCTGCGCCATCTGCAGCGTCTCGTACTTGGAGAGCTGCCGGTCGGCGCCGAGGCCCGGGAGGTGCGTCCGCAGCCGGTCGAAGGCCGTGTTCAGGTTGAGCATGCGGCGACGCTCGCGGGCGTTGGCCGCCAGCCGCCGGCGCTTCTGCACCACGACGGCGACCTGGCCGCCGCCGGCGGAGGTCCCACCTTCGCGGCCAGCGTCCTCGTCGTCCTCGGAGTACGACGACGACGACGACGGTGCGCTGTCCTCCCAGCAGGTCGACGGCGGCGGCGGCGTCGAGGCGACGACGCGCGTCATCCTGGAGGCGCCCAGCTCCATGCACTGCATGCTTCGAAGGACGGCGCGCTAGTGGTCATAGCGCACTCCAGGTGTCGGTCCAGCAGGTAGGGCCCTGGGCGGGGCGGGGCGCGGCGCGGCAGGGCGGGGGGAAGAAGGGTTACCGGCGGGTAGCACGCGCCCCTCCGCAGTCTCCTGGCCATAAACCCGGCACCATCAGAGTGAGCCGGGCCGGGGCGTCCCATAATGCGTGCTCAATTTCTCACATCGCGGCGTTTGAGTCCCCCCCAGCCCGCGGAGTCTCCCGTGACACCGCCGCCGCCACCGCGGCGGCCCGAGGCCTAGATTTCGAGTCGCCGACAACGACGCCGACCTCCGCGAGGCCTGGGCGGCGTGGGCGGTGGCGGCGGCGGCGGCCGCGGGACACGGCCCTTGTCCAGCTGATGGCGAATCAGTCCGCGAGGGCAGCGGGCCGGGCAGGACAGCGGAAGGACGGCGGTCAGCGCGGTGGTGTCCTAATATGCACGCGGCGGCCACGCCGAAGAGGACGACGAGCGCCTGAGTACCGGCGACGTCATCGTTTCGAGTGACGCGGTATTCGCCCGTTTCACCGGACCGGTGCAGTGCATTCCACACTAGCGGGTAGAACAAGTAAGGGTCCTTGGGGCCGTTCAGAAACAATGGAGGGGGGTCCAAATATTATGGAATCCCAAAAGGATCATGACCGTTAATACAGTCCAAAGAGACCCCACGATGTTGTTTTACCCCCAGGGTACCAATATCCTTGGACTCCAATGACCGTCCTGATCCTTTTGTTACCCCGTAATATTTGGATCCCCCTCCACTGCCCACGTGGTTTCTGAACGGCCCCTTCGCTTACGAGACTCCCCCAGCCAGACCAATCGGGGGCGTGCTTGTCTTCTCCAACCGCTCGCCGGAATACACTACTTGGATTAGTAACTGGAAAGATTCCCTGGAAAAGTGTGTCCAGGCAGGTGGCATGCTTTCTAATGGAGTGACTAGTATCTTGTCTAATTTGTCATAGCGTCCGAGGAGATTCTATCAAGCCTATATCATCCCTGGACCACCAAATCGATCAGGTATTTGATGGTGCCCTGTATCGTACCTAGACGTGCTGGCATGTGATGTTTTGAATCTGGGACGTTACACCGCTCGGAAACTGTAGGGAACCCCGACGTACTGTGTCGCGTGGGCCAGCAGGCGTGCTTAACGCCGACCACAAATTGGCTTGTCCACGCTCAAGGGTCAGGAAATTGGGCAGGCCGGGGCAGGCCGATCAGCCGAGAGCGCTGTGTGGCTCGTGGCTCGACTCTGTTCACTCTCACTCACTCGCTCGCTCGGCAGGCCCACCCCCACGCCATGGAGTTCGAGGAGGCCCTGCCCAAGGTGGGCGAGTCCGGCCGCTTCCAGCTGCTCAACTTCGCGCTGCTCCTGCTGCCCACCGTGCACACGGCCATGGGCATGATCTTCGTGTTCTCCGCCCGGGACATCCCCTACCGGTACGACGACGCGGTGGTGCTCGCGGTGGCCTCGGGTCGCCCCCGCACCCCCCGCTGACCAGGATGTCGCCGCAGGTGCCTCATCCCCGAGTGCGACGACGCCGCCGCCGCACCGGCCCTGGACCCGCCCTGGCTGTCCTGGGCCGCGCCCCCCAGCACCGTGCCGCGACCCTGGCCGTCCGGGAACGCGCGCGCCCCGGACTCCTGCCTCCGCTACGCCCCAAGGCCAGCCTCCACGACCTCCCCCGCAGCGCCCAGGGCGACCTCCGCCTGCTGGCCCGAGTCGTTCGACACCAACAGGACGGAGCGCTGCGGACGGTGGGTGTTCCCCGAGCACGACACCACCATCGTGTCGGAGGTAGGTCCACCCTGAGGGACGCCACTAGGCGAGCACCCATGGTGCAAGCCAAGGGTAACTCCATTCAAATAGAAAAAAAAATCCGGTCTACATCCCAGAAAGAAATCAGAAAAATATAAGAAAAGTTCAAAGGAAAAATAATGAAAATACATGAAAGAAATCAGAAAAACACAAAAAAAAAACAAAACAAGGAAAACGAAAAAAAAAGCAAAGTCAAAAAATTTAGAAAAAGAAACCAGAAAAAAATGGTGTACGGTGTACGCTTGAATTTAGAGTGAAGTGCCCCTCGCCCTCGGGGCACCTTCGGCCGTCGGGTGGACAAAACGCCTTAACTTGCATCTTCTGGTCGGCGACATTCACGTGTTCCAGTTTAACGTCACCTGCGAGGACAACCGATGGAAGCTGACGATCGTCGGCTCGCTCAACTTCCTCGGGCAGCTGCTCGGCATGCCCTTCAGCGGGGTGTACTCGGACCGGTTCGGGCGCAGGGGCCTGCTGCTCGTCCTTATGCCGCTGTCGCTCGCCTGCGGCATCTGGCGCTCCTTCGCCACCTCCTACGACGCCTTCCTCGCCCTCACCTTCTTCGACTCCTTCTTCGCGGCGGGGGTCTACAGCGCCGTCTTCATCCTGGGTAAACCAAAGTGTAGTAAAACAAAAGCCGGGGACAACGACACGCCCGGAACGATCCACACGGAAGCGGCACATTTTTTTTTTTTTTTTTTTGCTGCGAGATGCCTGTTTTGGTTGCGAAGTTTGGTGTTTTTTCCCGCGACTACAACACTTTTGCCTCCAAACACGTCCACAGCAGCAGCTAGAGGGCTAGGGCGCGGCGGGGCGCCCGCAGCTCCGACCCGCCGTTTCGCGTGGGCGCTGGATGGGTTGCCGACGCGGCATATGCCGGGCGCTCCCACCTCATCCAACCTTCACTACTTTTGTGTCTGAGTCTGCGTAATATTAAGTTACTCGCGTTCTTTTGCCCACATCACCACACCTACTTCGAGCAGTTTTTCGGTGCGTGCGTAAGTTCGGTGACGCTGCGACACCGAAAAGAGTGCGACACTGCACCGAGAACGGAACTTGATCTCGTTAAAGATCGTCTCGAGAGCACATCTCTTTCTCAGATTCATTCGATCATTCGACACACTGCGAGAGCTCGGCGCCTGCAAGACTCGGGATAGGCCACCCCGCAGTGCACGCATGCACTACATGCGAGATGTTGCCTACCTGACAGGCGCTACAAGACGCCGGAACTGGCCAGCTCCCAGTGTCGATTTCGGAACGACAGTTGACGGGGCGCACTTTCTGAATGATCCAACCACAAAAAGGGCGATAATTTAATTTAAAGA